AAAAACTGAATTAAATCAGTCCTGTAGACCGGGCATCATTTTTGGAAAAACACAGGGGTCAAAACATAAAAAATAGGGGCATATTTTTAATTACTTTTGAACTACCCAGAACGGCGGGTTGATTACGTGAAACTGTAGGGGCTCTTTAGCAAAGTTGCAGGCGAAAGTGTGTTTTGAATCGGGACGAGGACTACGGCTAGAATTTTAAAGAAACCTAGGGGCTCTTATGCAAAAATGCCATGACAAAGGGGTATCGATCGATCTCGGCCGCTAGATCTGAGATGAACGGCGGAGATTAAAAAGGAGGGAGTGAGTGAGGCGGCGGCCGGCGGGAACAGGGAGAGAAGACAGTGGCACCATGGCCGGCGTTGAGAAGCTCGTCAGCGTGCATGGGAAAACACCTATGGGCCATGCTACGACACGGGGGAGACACGGGAGAGAGAGCGGAGCACGGCGGACTCACCTTGGAGATTATCGTCGATGGTGAGGCACAGAAGAGCACGGGTCACGGCGGAGCAGATGGCGACGACGGCTAGGGTTCTGCGGCGGTGTGGCTTGAGGTGAGGCAACGCGAGCTAGGGTTCAGTAGGGAGGCAGCGGAGTGTGAGAGCTCGGTATTTAAGAAGGTAGCGGCGTAGGGCGCACGGCAACGGCATGGGACAGGGGGCAGCGCGGACTCCTAGCGGCGGTGGTAGAGTCCGAGCGGGTCACGAGCTGGTGGAGGGGGATGGAGCTGACAGGTGGGGCCAAGGTGGCAGTGAGAGAAGAGAGGGGAGCTTGGGCTGCGCGGCGTGGCTGCTGGACCCACTGGGCCGGGGTGTGCGGCTGGGGCGGGCAATGTGAAAGAAGAAGAGGGAAATAGGCCGCTAGGAACAGAAGCGGGCAACACGGCCTACGTGGCTGCTGGACTGTGAGGAGGGAGAGGAGATGGGCCACCGGGGAAACAAGACCGAGTAGGCCAAATTGAGGAGAAAGCATTTTTTCCAATTTCCAAATCTTGTTCTATTTCCCAAATTCAAATGTAACCAAAACAAATTAAAACATTGTTTCAAATATACTTTTCAAAATGAGCACTTTTGGGAGGTTTCCAAAACTAAACTTTTGCAAACTTTTGAAACCCTTTTTATTTTTTTCAAGTTCTCTTTTTTTTCTTTTCTATTATTTCAAAGCCATTTTCAAATTCATTTCCAAAAGCAATTTAAACCATTTAAATTTTTATCAAAACCACTCAACCAAATAAGTCAAATGCTCCGGCATGTATGCACAACCATGTTGCTACTCCTTATAATGAATTTTAATTTAATGAAAAATATTCTTTTTCCTATATTTCATGAGCACAAAATAAAAAATTAAATCAATTTATATCTTTTTTGAAAAGAGCAAATTTTAGGGTGTTACAGGAATCACCATAGGCTTCAACATGTGTTACCTCCATGGAACGCAACATAATCAACCCAAATAAGAGAGCCTCATATTCGGTTTGATTGTTGGTACAAAAGAAATCTAATCGGCTTGACATTCTAAGTTGAGCACCATTGAGAGAAATAAGAATAATACCAACACCTTGGCCATCTTTACAAACCGATCCATCAAAGTAAAGTTTCCATGGGGTAAAAGTAAGGTAATTGATATCATCATCTAAATGAATACCATGCTCAACAATACAATCAACAAGAACTTGAATTTTCAATGTTTTCAATGGTTCAAAAGTCAAGTCATATTCAATTAGTGCATATACCCATTTGCCTATCCTTCCACGAAGAATTGACCGATATAACATGTGCTTTATCACATCTGCCTGGCAAGCAACAACACCAGTACTAGACAAAAGATAATGTCTCATCTTAGCACAAGCATAGTACAGTGATAAGCATAATTTTTCCATATGGGCATACCTTGTCTAGGGATCAAGAAGACAGCGACCAAGATAAGCAATCACATATTCTTTACCTTCGTCTTCTTGAGTCAAAACATCCCCGATTATCTTCTCTTCGGCAACAATATATAATTTGAAAGGAACTCCTCTTCTAGGTGCATGAAGAACCGGTCGTGTTGACAAATATTCCTTTGTCTTCTCAAATGCTTCTTGTAGCTTTGCCCCCCAAGTAAATTCAGATTCATCCTTCAGCTTCAATATGGGGGTGAAAGGAATAATTTTCTCGAACAAGTTAGCAATGAACCTTCCCAGTAGTAGTTCACCTTTCCAAAAAACTTTTGTAAGTCCTTCTTGCATGTCGGTGCCTGAACTTTCTTGATCTTCTCTATCCTCTTGGAATCAACCTCTATCCTTTATCATGAATAATGGAGCCCTAGAATTTCCTAGCCGATACTCCAAAAGCACATTTGAGTGGGTTCATCTTCCATCCATAGCGGCGCATCCTCTCAAAATCAAGATGTAAATCGGCCATATGAGATTTATGGGTAGCCAATTTAATCACAATATCATCAATGTATACCTCCATAATCACCCCAATTAGATCATGGAAAATCAAATTCATAGCTCTTTGATAAGTAGCACCCGTATTCTTCAGCCCAAATGTTGTCACAACCCACTCAAAGAGACCAACAAACCCAGGACATATGAAGGCCGTCTTAGACATATCTTCTTTGGCCTTGAAAATCTGATTATAACCGGCATTACCATCAAGAAAGCTAATAACCCGGTGTCTAGAAGCATCATTGATAAACATATCGGCTATTGGCATAGGATATTCATCTTTTGGAGTAGCTCTATATAGATCTCTAAAATCAATACAAACTCTGATCTTCTCATAATCTTTCTTCTCAATAGGCACAATATTAGAGACCCACTTCACATACCTGCATGGCTGAATAAACCCCGCTTACATCAACCAATTAATCTCTTTTTAATTCGGTCATAGATTGTAGAGTTAAAGCGGCGGGGGTGTTGTTTGAAAGGCCTGAATCCTTTCTTGATGGGGAGCCGATGCTCAACAAGCTCTCAGCTCAATCCAGGCATCTTTGTATAATTCCATACAAAACAATCAACATATTCCTTGAGAAGCGTGATTAACTCAACTTTGTAATCAGCTTCCAAGTTTTGATTTATAAACGTCAACCGGGGCACAGAGCCATCCCCAATATCAACTTGTTCCAAAGGGTTGGCCAACGTAAAACCTTAGCCCAACTTATCGAGCTCATCAAAATCATCAATAGCTTCACAGGCATCGGTCTTACTAGCCCGATACAGTTCAACATGATGTTTAAATCATTCAATGTTGGCATCCATTACAAAAAATTGATTACATGATGATATTCAGTTGATTATCAATCGGCTTCAAAGATACAGGAACAAAGCCTTGCTTGGTAACACTAATAAATTCAAAGCTAGAAAGGTCACTACCAGATAAGCATGCAATAGCATCGTGCCCCCCGAGTGTAGGACCATCAGTTGTAGCAATGCCAGTCGATGAATCCGAATGCACAACCTCAACAGCATCTCCCACCCATTGGATGAGAAATTGGTGCAAGCAAGATGGTACACAACGATTAGCATGGATCCAATCACGCCCAAGTATCAAGTTATAGCTACCTTGCACGGCGGCGACAAAGAACGCCGTGGCCAAAGTCTTGCTTCCAATGGTGAGCTCCATGTTAGCAACTCCTCTGGCTAGGATGGGAGCACCTCCTCCAACACCACTAATGGTCATGTTGGTCTTGATTGGCTCGTCATCAGTGCCACCGAGGTTCTTGTAAAGTGAATACGGCATCAAGTTCACAATTGCCCCACTGTCCACCAACATATTATGAACTAGAGTGCCATTGATATGGCCCTTCACATGCAAAGGCTTTGAGATGGTTGACAGAGTCATCTGGCTTCTGAAATATAGCACTCTCCATCATGAAGTTAAACTCCGCCGCCGCCAAATCATCTTCGAGAACGTAGTAATCGACGAACATATAGACTACATTGACCTCCGCCCTCTCTGGAGTGGCCTAATAATCAACCATCTCATCATTTGGAACCTTAGGGACCTTCATGCCAACCAAGGCAGCGACGGAGGAAGCAAAGTCATCGGAGGCCACCTCGGAGGCACTCGGGATGGTGGGAGTCGGCTCAGCCAACTTTGAAGTCAACTTAGCTGACTCTAGATTTTCTAGAGCAGCAGGAGCAGTAGCAATTGGCTTAGCCGACTCTGAAGTCGGTTGAGCCGACTGGGCAGCAGCAACGGCGACCTTCGGGCTTTTTAGAGGGGTTTCAAAGTTGAAGATTTTAGCCTCCATCTTGGCAAGCTTCTCTCTCTTCTGTTGCTTGTGGCAGGCATGCTGCAATTTGCGCTGCTGAGTTTTATTCAACCCACGAGGACACCATATGGGTTGCCTATACTTGGAATCTCCTTCGACACATTTCTTCTCTTCAACTCCAGCAACTTATTTAGTAGCTTCATCTTATTTAGATGCTGGAGAATCTTCAATTACAATCGGCCCATCATGATTAGTGACGGGAGCTTCCATGGAGCCAATTGTGATTACCGATTGAGGACTATCTCTTGGTGGGGAAATGATAGGAGCCTCAACCTTCTTAGGCACATAGACTTGCTACATCGGTGTCTTTCTTGATTCTTGTGGAGTCAAAGTCCTAGAGGTGATCACACGGTCGTGACTTGCACCACCGGAGCACGATTGACCGCTGTTCAATCGGTTAAACACAGAGGTTCTTGGGATTTGACCAGCAGGCTCTCCCCACCTTTGTTGACTATGCATAGGCGCCGCCGAAGGATATAGCACCCAAACTCCAGAGGGACCCCATTGCGACATAATGAGAGGTGGAATCGGGGGACCCCAGCGAGATACACGAGGAGCAACTCTCTGAGGTGGAGCTGCTGGTTGCACCACTGCCAATTGCTTGGACTTGTCATCTTCTCAATTAGGTGGAGTAGACTCTCTTTTTTTCACGGCCGATTCTAGGAATCAGCCTTTTGTTGCTTGTATTTGGTCATGAGCCTATCACAAGTGCATTGCTTCTTCACGAACTCTCCCTAGTTCTTCTTCTCATTTGTCTTCCAAGTGCCAATCTCAGGCCTCTGTGGAACAAACGTGCGCAAAACACGAACACCGGAATAACTCGGGCTGCTGGAACCAGGGGAGTCGGCTAAGCCGACTAGGGCAATTGGCTCAGCCGACTTGGCTGGCTCTATGGTGGAGTCAGCTTGGCTGACTGGTGGACTCGGCCTAGCCGGCCTCTGTTGTGCCGTCGCTATTTTGTACCACCGCTGCCTTCTCAAATATTGTGTTGATCCAGCGGTGATCTTCAACTTATTCTTGCCTTCATCATCCTTCTCAAGAACAACCTTGCACCATGAATTCTTTTCGACATTCGGTGCTGCACGTGGTTCGTCGATAATCACATTCTTGCCTTTAGCTTTATCGGCTTGCTCTGGACAAATCAAAATAGCGGGAGCCCCTGCTTCAACCATATGCATTGGAAATGGGGACTTATCAACTTGCATCTCAGTGAGACTACCTGCCGACGAAAAACATTGCGATCATTAGTGGCACGAGAAAAAGAGTTATGATATTTGCAATAAGCCTGTCTCTTTAACTCATCCGCTGAAGGCATTATATAATTAATTCTAATATAACCAAATTTAAGCAATTCATCGAATATTCAGTCACATTTAGAAAAATCAAAAGTAAATTTCACTTCCTCATTCTGATTCTTATGAATCGGTTTAAGAGTAGGGCAAGTAACCAATTTATTTTCTGCTGGCCATTTAATTTCAGTAGCTAAAAATTCTTTGTTATCATCATCAGATCAATTAGAACAAACATCAATAACATGCACATGCTGACGATGAGACTTGTAAGCATCACGAGACTCTTTAAGGCGCGATTCAACCAAAACGGCCTTTTGTAACAATTGATTTACATTAACAAATTCATAATGCTCAAGTTTCTCCCTAATACTAGGACGCAAACCAGAAAAACATAAATTAGTTGAGTCTCTTTCTGAAATCATAAAATGAAAACATCAGTTCTTGATTTCTCTAAACCATTTGAAAAAATCAAGCACTTACTCATCATGCCCTTGACGAACCGATGCAACATGAGACAATCTAGTTTCATGAGCACCATTATAAAAATAATTATGAATTTTTTCTTCTATTTCATCCCATGAACCAATAGGACATGATGGAAACGAAGTGAACCATGAAAAAGCTATGCTAGTAAGAGACAATGGAAAATTATGAACTTTCATGAAATCATAATCACTAGCTTCACCTAATTGTGCAAGAAACATGCTAATATACTCTATGGTTGACTTACTATCATCACCACTAAATTTATTAAAATCAGGTACCCTCCACCCATCAGGTGCTTTCATGAAATCAAAATGCAAAGGGTACAATTTGCGATATGTATTCCTACCAGGCTTGATTTGCACATCCAAACTCTCCTCAAGTGATTTAGACAATTCCTCTCTAAACCAATTCAAAGTTTCATTAAAATTGGTAGTAGGAGCAGTAGGTGTATTATCAAGCATAGGGATTTGACTTGGTGACTTTGGTGGGTTAGGAAGAACCGTGTTTTGCCCCACCGAAGCTCGGTTTGTTACTGATCTTTGATTGGTTTGTGTGTTTCGAGCTAAATTTCGATCATAGATAACCAATTGTGAAGATCGAGTAACACCGACAAAACCGGCCTTATCAGTTTCAAATGCCGAAGGGGCTGATTTGCCTTTGTTTGCTACTGCATATAATCCTTGGTTCTCATAAAAATTTAAAGGCATGCCAAACTCAGGTTGTTTAGAAAAAGAAGCAACACCCGATTGATTGCCATCGGTCGTTTTCCCCTCTAACTTATCAAAACGAGCCATGATCATATTTACTACAGCTAAAAGATTATTATCAATTACTTTTTTATGATCATCCATCATAGTAGCATAATTGGCATGCGTACGATAAGGATCAACATATGAATCATCGACATACTTAGGTTTGTTGGTGGTCCTTACCTCAGGTGCAGCGTGTGCGGTTGATGTAGAAGTGATCAACTCACTGAAATCTGGCTCCTTGAATTGGGTGACCTTGTCTCGTCGATCTTTAGTGCAACTCTAAAGAAAAGCCTTCAGAACGGCATTGAACTTGGCCTCCACTTGTTGCTTCAGCTCCTCGGGAAGCTCTTCAACGGTCTCAGGATGGTTGATGTTACCACCATGGGGGACGTTAGTCCTATTGTCCTTCTAACCTGCATCATCACCCTTGCTTCCCATGCCGATTTTGGATTGAACCTTGGATCGCTTCGCTTTCTCCAGCGGAGTTGCCAAAAAGTATATTGATGTTGAAGATGATTGTTGGTATATTTAACGCACACAGATAAATCCGCAAGCGCATAGATACCACTGTAGCTTTCACCCAAAAGTATTCCAAGTATTGTATCCGTAGGGAAATGTGTGAGACTAACTATGATCTAACTTAACTAGGGGTAGCAACAAGGTTGAGATAAATAGGAGCGTAGAGAGGAAAACTAAGTGTGGGGGTATAGCCCCCAAGACATGGGCCACACCATCGGAGGTGGCTCGGCCCACAAGATCAAGGCGTGCACGGCGCTGCTCGGCGTGCACCGCAAGACATTGTATAGTACCAAATAGGATACTTTACATGTAACCCTGCCCCTCCAGAGTATATAAGGAGAGGCAGGGGTCCTCTACTTAACATCATCATGTATTCAATACAATACACCAAAGACACAGGACGTAGGGTATTACGTCGATCAGACGGCTCGAACCTGTCTAAATCGCTGTCTCTGCGCCTTGTGTCACCATCTGGTTCCTGATTACGCGCATCCCCACCGATAAATCTACCATCGCGGGATACCCCTCGGTGGACTGCCGAGCATATTCTGTCGACAGTTGGCACGCCAGGTAGGGGTGTGCGCTTGATCCATGGCGAGCCAGATGGATCTCAAATCAACAATGCGTTCTCGTCGTCAATCTCGTGGAGATCCATCCCGGTCCACGATGACGATTCATCGCTGCTACACCAGCCCCTACAACAGCAGATCCGATCTCGGAACCAACAACTCACCGCCGATGCTCTCGTCAGCCCTCGCCGTCGACTCGTCGTTACCGCTCGGCGATGACTCACCGCCGTTGCCCTCGACGGCCTTCACCGACATCTTTTGTCGACGTCCCACGCCGTCGACTTGTCGTCACCACTCGGCGGCCTTCGCCGACATCTTTCATCGACGTCCCTCGCCGTCGACTTGTCGTCACCGCTCGGCGGCCTTCGCCGACATCTTTCATCGACGTCACTCGCCGTCGACTCGTCGTCACCGCTCAGCGATGACTCACCGCCGCTGCCCTCGGTGGCCTTCGCCGACATCTTTCGTCGACGTCCCTCGCTGTCGACTCGTCGTCACTGCTCGGCGGCCTTCGCCGACATCTTTCATCGATGTCACTCGCCGTCGACTCGTCGTCACCGCTCGGTGATGACTCGCCGCCGCTGCCCTCGGCGGCCTTCGCCGACATCTTTCGCCGACGTCCCTCGCCGTCGACTCGTAGTCACCACTCGGCGGCCTTCGCCGACATCTTTTGTCGATGTCCCTCGCTGTCGACTCATCGTCACCGCTCGGCGGCCTTCGCCGACATCGTTCGTCGACGTCTCTCACCATCGACTCGTCATCACCGCTCGGCAGCCTTCGCCGACATCCTTCGCCGATGCCCCTCGCTGTTGTCTCGTCGTCACCGGTCGGCGGCCCTCACCGACATCCCTTGTCGCCGTCGAGCTGCAAGCGAGCTGCCCGCGTCGCCGACCAGATAACGCCATACGTCACTGACCAGACTTTCTATCTAAAGCTAAGTCACGTTTTAATATTCTTCTAAATATTCTTCAATCTCCGTATATTGTCATAATGTTTCTCCGAACTGTTTTCTCCATATTTGCTCTTCAAACAATTTTTCGAACCATAGAACAGTCACGTTGATGCTCGGACGCCTTCAGAGATGGCCCTATCTCCGGCTCCTCCCAACACGTGCTACGGGCTCCGCGCTCTGCGTTATGGGTGGTCGGCAGCGGCTCCTTGGTCACGCCTGTTCATCCTACACGTGCACGGGCTCCGCGCTCGACGTTATGGACTATGGGCTAGCTAGGGCTGAAGACTCAGCTACACACTAACTGTTCGAGCGGTTTATATTAAACATAAATATATTTTCATGCCAACTAATCGCTGAACTGCATACGCCGTTTCATCACCATTGCTGATTTTTCTCCTGAGTTTCTTTATTTGTACATCGTGTACTACCCGTTCTACATATTTGTATTGCAGGATCGTCGTCTAGGTGATCGGACCACCTGGTGCTTGGGCTTCTCCACCGATCAACTGGTCGGACTGCTTGGTTCATGGACTCCGTCGCCGACCAGTTGATCGGACTGCTCGCCGGTCGCTTCTACTCAATGTTCACTTCGCCGCCGACCAGTCGACCAGAATGTTCGTCGCTTGTGCTTCATCGCCAGTTACGTCGGTTACTCCTCGGCCCTCGGATTCTTCGTGCTCGAGGACTAAGTGGGCACACTTCACTGCACGGACGTCGTCAGCTACGTCGGTGCTCGGACCTCGCCGCCTATGCCGGGGACTCCTCGGTGCTCGGACCTCGCCACCTACGCCAAGGACTCCTCGGTGCTCGGACATCGCCGCCTACGCTGGGGACTCCTCGGTGCTCGAACCTCGCCGCCTACGCTGGGTACTCCTCGCTCCTCGGTGCTCGGTCATCGCCAGCTGACGCCGGGGACTCCTCACTCCTCGGTGCTCGGTCATCGCCAGCGATGCCGGGGACTCCTCGCTCCTCTGTGCTCGGACATCGCCGCCTACGCCAGGGACTCCTCGCTCCTCGGTCCTCGGAATTGCCAGCGACATCGGGAACTCCTCACTCCTCGGTGCTTGGACATCGCCAGCAACGCCGGGGACTCCTTGCTCCTCGGTGCTCGGTCATCGCCAGCGATGCCGGGGACTCCTCGCTCCTCGGTGCTCGGAATCGCCAGCGACATCGGGAACTCCTCACTCCTTGGTGCTTGGACATCGCCAGCGACGCCGGGGACTCCTCGCTCCTCGGTGCTCGATCATCGCGAGCGACGCCGGGGACTCCTCACTCCTCGGTGCTCGGTCATCGCCAGCGACGCCGGGGACTCCTCGCTCCTCGGTGCTTGGAATCTCCAGCGACGTCGGGAACTCCTCACTCCTCGGTGCTTGGACATCGCCAGCGACGCCGGGGACTCCTCGCTCCTCGGTGCTCGGTCATCGCCAGCGATGCCGGGGACTCCTCGCTCCTCTATGCTCGGACATCGCCGCCTACGCCAGGGACTCCTCGCTCCTCGGTGCTCGGAATCGCTAGCGACGTCGGGAACTCCTCACTCCTCGGTGCTTGGACATCGCCAGCGACGCCGGGGACTCCTCGCTCCTCGGTGCTCGGTCATCGCCAGCGACGCTGGGGACTCCTCGCTCCTCTATGCTCGGACATCGCCACCTACGCCAGGGACTCCTCGGTGCTCGGAATCGCTAGCGACGCCGGGAACTCCTCACTCCTCGGTGCTTGGACATCACCAGCGACGCCGGGGACTCCTCGCTCCTCGGTGCTCGGACATCGCCAGCGACGCCGGGGACTCCTCGCTCCTCGGTGCTCGGTCATCGCCAGCGACGCCGGGGACTCCTCGCTCCTCGGTGCTCGGACATCACCAGCGACGCTGGAGATTCCTCGCTCCTCGGTGCTCGGACATCGCCAGCGACGCTGGGGACTCCCATGCTGCTCGGATCTTGCTATGTCTCATCGGTGTGCTATCAGGCTGCTCCACGCTATTCGGATCAGGGTGCTGATCTTAGACAGCACGTCTGGGGTCTTGATATGCGCATGTCAGACGACGTCAGCAAGCTTTCAGACTTCTTTGACCCTGCTACAAGATTCATTCTTCATCTTCCAGCAGGCTCGGGGACTAAGTGGGCACACTTCACCTTGCGGTGAATGTGCTTGTTCTCATCTCGAGGCTACGCCCGGGGACTAGCTGCCTGCTCGGCTGGTCTTCTACTTTATGAGCCTGGCACCACGTGACTGCATCACCTACTGTCAGGCTCGGGGACTAACTGTGGGGGTATGGCCCCCAAGACATGGTTCTCTAGTTCTGACTTGGATAAGCTATATCTTCTACTATTCAACTAAGGACATTACTAGAGAAAGATACCAGCAGAGGATGCTTTCCTTCGTAACTGTGTCCTACTTGTGCCTATAGATGGGAGGTGGACTACAAAGGATCAACGAAGCTATATAGTACAGGCTATATAGAATTGATGTCACACACACGATCTACCACCATCCGGAATGTAGGGTGCATCCATGATTAACCTAAGTCTAAGCACCATGCTTACACTTATGATTAATACTTTAACCTAAAGTGTCTATAGATTAAAGCACTCAAAAGAGAGTAGTGATCCTAATGAACAATATAAACAATTACTTACTTGAATTAGAAGTTGATTACCAGAGAAATCTCGAAGGCAAGCTCAAGTAGAACTTGGATCCGCTAAGGTACAAGCGATAGAGAGAGCACCAATAGGCCGGCACCTCCTCCAAACTCTTCCCTCACTCTCTATCTCACTATTATTTACAAGACTAGATCCTATGGAGGACTAATCTTCTCTTGATAGCAAGCTCTAATCTTCATGATATGAATTTAGGTTTTAGGATGGCTCTAGGGAGGGTGGCAGGGGCTGATATATATAGGTCAAAGCGTCCAATGTGAGCCCTTGGATCAAACTGAATTAAAGGATGGCGTACATGCAACCTAAGAGGTGGTGGAGAACCGACATTGCGACGCAGAGGCTGGTAGGTGGGCCAAGGGCTAGGCGGCCTGCAGGTCGGGCCGGTCGGCCCCACATGGCATTCCCTCGGGGTCTGCTTTGGTGGAGAGCCTCCTAGAGTCTCCTAGAATCTTTCCACGCTGTTTACGCGGTGGAATTCCATAATTTCCTTTGACGAATAGGTTCCCCTTGACGGTTTTCTGGATAAATCCTGTTGAAAACACAGGTTCGCCAAAACTCGTGGAATTTATTAGTTTAAACCCCTATACCTATGTTTGGTGATGGAATTAAGTATAAATCAGGTTATGTTGACGGTTTATAATTGATGTTAGTGACCATCAATAAGTTCCCCCAAGCTTAACCTTTGATAGTCCCTAAGCAAAGCTAAATTTAGCAATGGATTAGGAGTTGTTACAATGTTTTCATGCCTCAAAAGTACACATGCATTCAATCAAAAATTCTCCTACGGATTAGAATAAACTGATATGACTTTCAAACTTACCTATATTACCTTCAACCATGGGACTTGTTAACCTTCACTTAGGTCTTAAGCAATTGAAAGACAGAACGATCAAGTCAAGCACTATGTCTCAAGTTCTTTGTTCCATCATTGTTCTGGAGTTTTTATAAGTTTTCAAAATAAAACTCAAAGATTCCATTGTATGACACTCTCAAGTCTCTTAATATATGTGGTATTTGTGGATCCTCACCAAAGGCAGTAAAGATGTTATGCCTTTTTTTCTCTTCCTACAACTAAAGGTTATGTGGAGTTCATAGGTAGGGAGAAAGCTAGAGCATACTTGCAATGCATATATGGTAAAATCAAACAATGGATCCAAAGAGAGTTGAGTCATACAATCAAATCAAGATGTGCATGTGTGTGGGTATATGGTGGCTAACCTAATTCTACCATGCTCTTTGAAAACATATCTCTCCTTTGAAACTTAGAAACATTTGCTAGAGAGCAGGGACTATCTTATTCATCTCTCTTTCTCTTCTCTTTTTTTAGGAGGGCATCTAAGTACCCATTATTTTAAATATCTCGAACACATGTCCATTTTTTCTCATCTCTTTTTTTCTTCTTTTTTTATGAAAAACTTCTGCATAGCCTAATGTCTCTTTTCTACAACAAAACTTTGAGAGATAGCAACAAGAACTTAGAGCATTTATTTGGTGGATGAAAAACCTATCAAGCATGTTTTCTGTTCACTCCCAGTGTAGGAGTAAAACATTTTTTTTGGTGGATCTAGATGGAAGGCATGTTTTGCGTACTCCCAGTGTAGGAGCAGTAGGTATATGTGGTGTGTATGTGATATTGATTTTAAGAGCAT